ATCCTAATTATATTCCTAATCCTAATTATATTCCTAATCCTAATTATTTTCCTAATCCTAATTATATTCCTAATCCTAATTATATTCCTAATCCTAATTATTTTCCTAATCCTAATTATTTTCCTAATCCTAATTATATTCCTAATCCTAATTATATTCCTAATCCTAATTATTTTCCTAATCCTAATTATATTCCTGATCCTAAATTAATTTCTAATTATATTCCTATTCCTTATCATATTTCTAAGCTAAATAATACCATTAATTATAATCCAAACCCTTAATCAAATCTTGATCTTAAATCCTTTGTTAATTTTTATTCTGGCTCAAAAACGTGATCCTAAATGTAATCTAACTCTTATATTGAATATAATCCCAATCCTAACTTAATTACTAAGGCTAATTATATTCTTATTCCTTATCATATTCCTAATCGTAATCATACTTTTAAGATATCCCAAATCCTTAATCAAATCTCATGCAAAAACTTAATCCTAAATATAATCTAACTCTGGTTTCTCCAAATTTTATCCTTAATGATTTTTGTGACGACCTGACGACTCTTTTTAGTAACTATCATAAGATTGAATTAAGTTTCTGTCTTAAAAATAGTAAATAGTAAAAATGATAAATTCTGTGTTCAGGATGAGGAGAGTGGGCTACAGAAGCTAAATCTGTCAGATTGTAAGCTTAAGACTGATCTAAACAATGTGATCAATGCACTGGGTTCTAACCAGTGTATCCAGGTAATATAGCAATCGTGGAGGGGTTAGTTGTCTAGGTTTAACTTTTATCTGGGTCTGGGATGTTTTTGCTTCTTTCAGGGTTCCGGACAGGATGCTTTTTCTGAAAAAAAAAATAGAAAACAAAACATTTTTATTTTTTTAGAAAACCTAATTGCTAAAATAGTTATTATTGGACAAGGAAGACAAAAATAGGTTAAAACAATATGATTAGATGCGGTAAAAAGTGGAATAACATATATTTGAGTGAAAACTTAAATGTTTCCTATTGTTAGATCCTGGATATAAGTGGGAACGGGACCGGAGATGTCGGAGCAAGATTACTTGCTAAAGCTCTTCAGATCAACACCAGGCTCCGAACCATCTACCTGGATAGGAACCAGATCAGTTTACAGGGATATCAGGTAGCAAACTGTACAGACTAGGATAAGGGATATCAGGTAGCAAACTGTACAGACTAGGATACAGGGATATCAGGTAGCAAACTGTACAGACTAGGAAACAGGGATATCAGGTAGCAAACTGTCCAGACCAGGATACAGGAGTTCTTCTAGTTTGTAATTTACTATTTCTTTACTTTTTTATTTTTTTATTCCTCTCCCTTTCATTTTTTAATAGATAAAAAATTCTTAGTTATACTGGAAAAGGACCAATTAAAAGAATGTATAAACCTATTGTTCATAAAATCTACGCAAAGATTATTTTTATCGTTCATATTTCTATTTACTTCAGGATATTACATACGCCCTTCAATCCAACTACAGCATGCGTCACATTCCCTTCCCTACCTACGACCTTCAGGCTCCGATGAAAGCGTATCCTGAGCGTGTTGACGCAATGGTTCGGAGAATGCAAGATTATCTCCAGAGGAACTCCAACCCTCGGAGCTATGCGTCCAGGGGGAAGAATTTTAGATTAACCCAGGTAATGCCATTTTTTGTTTCATAAAAATATTATTTTTTTAAAAATGGAAAAACTAATTTAATTAATTGGATCGTAATTAAATAATAAATTATTTTTTCGATCTCATGCTTCTCAATGAGTATTTGAGAAACAGAAACAGATATATTTTATGTCTGCACTGCTCAATTGTTGGAAGTTACATACTATCCAGTCAGTTTTATTTTCTCAATTCTATTTTATTAGCAAAATCTTCAATTATAACTTATGTGAAGTGTTTAAATCATCATTATTCAAAAATATTTTTTTTGCATTGTTTATGCTGGGTGAAGGGGGGGGGGCAGGTTAAAAACGAGTGTCCATTGGTTTTCTCTTCTGGGGTTTGCGGGGTCAATATCGGGTTCCTTATCAGATAACACTTCCTAATGCTCCTGGTATGTTCAGGGGTTCCTGTTAAGTTCTACACAGCAGGTTCTAGATCGTTGGAGTGCTCAGGTTCAGGATACAATACATTCTACTAGAATAGAGACAAGGTAGATAATAACATCAATAATAATGATAAAAGGGTTCTGACCGTATGTTTGGATTTAAATATAAGCATATACTTTAATATTACTTCTTATTTAGTGAGAACACAGAGGATATGGATAGAGCCGAGGGATATACTCGGGATGCAGAGCAATGTAAACTCCTCCTCTCCTCCCTCCACGAGACAGCAGCTACAAGAGATCTAGCAGAGTGTCCGGTTCAGAAGAAACTAGCAGAGATCTCCAATGATCTTGAATCCTTTCTCTTCTCCCATATTGAGAAGAGTGTCTCCTCTATGCTAGCTGTTGCTGTGGAACGGTGTCCAACCGTCCTTGCCTCGAACTCGCGGAGTTTGTCAGATTTAAAAAGTTTGACGGACTCCAAGTCCAAGATGCCCCCGGAGTACGTTAAAAACCTGGTCTACGACACCCTAGGCTACGAGATCACGAGCAAGGTGAACGAGATGAACCTGATTATCGCCAACCATATCTCAGATAAGGTGATCGATGACGTGATAGACGGGTTGGCTCGGAGCTACAAATCCATGGTGGGAGATCTTGGATCCTTCAGGAAGAAACGTTCCCTTACCCCGGACGTTCTAAAGGTAGCGAATAAATCTAGTATATAAAGAAGGTCGTCGAAAATGTATTTGTGTATGAACAATGTACATAGTCTTCATAACATTTAGAAAGATGCTACTTTAATATAAAATCTGTAAAAAAAATTCTGAATTTAAACCAAATGTGGAAACTAATCTTAATCAAAAACAAACTTTTGAATTATTCCAGAGTTCTGGTGGCAGGACTGAGAGCGAGAGTGAGAGTTTATCCCTGGGAGGAGGAGACAATGCGTCCGAGCACTCCTCCTCTCCCCTCTGCACACCGCACATCACTAAACGGAAATCCATCCATGACAGGAAACTCCGACCTAAGTCTGTGGTCGACCAGGACGGATCTACTCCAGGTATAAATTTTAAAAAGCGTATTTTTAAGTTGGAACAACGACAATTAACAGGATTAAATATTGACCAAAAGGTTTTATTATAAGATACAAGATTTGCCTGAAAGTTTAAAGTGAAACCCATGATTTTCACAACATTTTCATCTCAAATATCAAATGTTCCAGTTAACTTAATGAACCAAAGTAATAAATATGGACCCTGATAATTTAACTTTATAATGCATTCTTATCAAACCAGGTTTCCTTCGATAATAAAAACTATCCTACCTCAGTACTCCAGTCAGCACATGATAATCATTAATATTAATAGAATAATTAACACGATCACGTTGGTATTATTATTATTGATATTATTATTAATATGTTACCAACTGAGAAGAACATAAGTTTTGTTTAGTTAAAAAGCCCTGGAAGAGTGTTTTAGGTAGGCGCTGCTATATGCTTTAAAGTTCAAGCTTAAAGAGACTGTATTCGTAAGTTTAACTGACCCTCCATGCAAAGACGGCAATGTACGATTTACAACTGTATCCTTAAAGGTTTTGTCTGATCAAGTATAAATTACGTATGCACTTTCAAACTGTTAATTTTACTTTGTGGTTTTTCTCTGCAAAAGAAACAAACACTTTTCGAGTAAAAAAACGACGTTTTCTTCCACAATATTGATCAGATACTGGTTTCAAGGGTATTGGTATGAATCGGACATTGCCATCTTTGCATAGAGGGTCATTTGAAATAACGAATACAGCCCCTTTGGGAGTTTACCTGGTTTTGGAAGAGGCGATAGAACGGTTCAGAAAATTATTTTTTGGTCACACAATTGCTTGAGAAAACAGTATCTTCATATAAAAAAGGACCTAGTCGATATGGGAAGTTTTCTGAACCGTCCTATTATCTCATCCACTGTCAGAAACCGCGTGTTTTCTCTTTAGATTATTCAGATTATCAACTTAGCTTTTATCATTTCTGCTCTTAGCTTTCTTTGAATATTGCTATTTTGCCATACCTGCAATTTTATAGTTTTTTTTAAAGTTTTAATGCTTTGTAAGTAAGAGTCTTAATTTGGCCAATATCTTGTTTTAAATAATTTCATTTAAAACTACTTCAAAAATAATTTTTTTTGAGCGTGACATGAAATAAAACCTCATGATTGGTTTGATAATGTTGCTTGATAATACTGGAATATTAAATGAGCAAGGAGTAAGAGCAAAGAGGGTTGGTAAACTTTATTGAAGTTTAATATTAATATTTACATGCGATAAAGGCAAACATTCATCAAAACAATGAAGAAAAAAATACCTTTTTTATATCTAATCAGCTGTAGATAAAAAATAAAAACTTTACAAAGTTTGCTGCGAAGCTGTTTTTTCTATTTTGATTTAATTTCTAAAAATTTGTTCTTATTTTAACAGAATTATTTGTAGATCTTCTCCCCGGTATGAAGGATGAGGATGAGGTAGAGGATCGGGTTCCGGAGCTCCCTGAGATACCCCAGCTTCAACACCTAGCTAAAAATAGACCTCGGAGACCCAAGAGACATGCGTCCTCAGGCTCTATAGGACAGGTAATACAGAGGACAGGCAGAACAATAATAAATTTGATCATCAACAATACGGGGTTCCTCGGATCCGGATTCAAGTAGCTAAATCTAATACGGGGTTCCTCGGATCCGGATTGAAGTAGCTAAATCTAATCCAGAATATAGAGAAAAATTTCTAGCTCTAAAATATAAATCTTAATTGGCTTCTAGTAGGGTTATAAAATAAATTGTTTAAAGCTTTAAAAAAACATTATCAGGATCCGGATTGATTTTTTACAGGACGGAAATTCAGATCCTGATCTGTTTCAAAATAGAAATAGATCCTTCACATTGGAATCTTACTTCTGTTTTATCCCCCTGTTGGTTTCTCTAAAGTTCTTTTTCTCCAGGTCGTTGGAACTGAAGCAGATGCTGGAGATCTTAAGGAAGGTTTGGATAACTTCTTCACCAAGAACGTGTCTCCGAAACTTACTCCGGTAGGGAGTCCGCTCCTGGAAGAGGGTTTACACAACTCTAGACACGGATCCATCTCCTCCAACTCCTCCTCCTTCTCCAGGTCCAGGGAGGATATCAGGGACACTAAACATGTTCTCAAGGTAGGTTCTTAACACGTAATAAATAGATCTCTCCCCTCAAACTTTTAATTTTCTAATCCTTTACTTTTACTGAAAATTGAAATCTTTAAAAATTCAAACTTAAGACTATTTAATCGAGCAGAATTCAGGTTTAAAATTTTAGGTTAAAAAGTATAATGTGAAAAAAAACTTAAAGAAAATATTAGAAATAAAAGAATGATTCCAAATCAATGAAACTCAGTTTCTTGATTAATTTCTGTTTAGGGTTTTCCACTACTGGTATTTTAATAAATGAATTTATCTTCTAGGGCGGAAGTGGGAAAGTTAGTCCTCTAACACTAGACCCTGGAGGACGGAAATCTCCGGCAGAACCTGAGGATAAACCACGGATAGGACTCTCCTGTCTCGTCAGCAGTACACAGGACGAGGATAGGGAGCCTCTCTCCGTCCTCAAATCTCCAGAGAAAAAATCTATTATTTCTCCATCAGGACGGAGCATCAGTGATATTTTCGGAAAGGTAAATGTTTTTGTTTAGAAATAATTATTTGTTGTCTCCAGGGTCTGTACTCCTAATCTCAAGTGACACTCCATTCATAGAATGGCATATCTGATTAACAACGGTGCTCTTGAAACCTCTATCTAAATAACAATTAGTAAGATACCGTCCCGTTTCAATTTCATAAAGTGTTGAATTCTGAAGATTTCCTCCTTTGATTTATATCTATTTGTCATTGTGTAATGGGTATTATAAAGTGCAAAAAGGTTTTTGCTGGAATTTTTATGTTTTCTAGTTTGTTTAAGATCAAAATGAAAGTAGTGAGGTGTGAAAATATTTTTTCGCACGCATGACACCCATTTCAATAACATATATAGTTTAATTCAGTTTTACTCAAATTATTTAAAAGCAGGTCGATAAAGTTACTTAATCACCGCGTTGTAGGGTGATTGAGTAACTTTATCACCCTGCTATGAGCAAATTAGGTATGAAATTTGAAATTTTAATAGCAGAGTGAAAAAGTTACTTTTTCGCCCTGTTGTAGGGCGATAAAGTCACTTAATCACCCTACAACGGGAAATATTAGGTGTGATGAATTCCATCAAAATTGAATGAAAGGTTTAAAGGGTTCTGTTGTGAATCAGACATGTACCTCTGTAAGTTGAAGGTCACTTGGAATTATTTCTCTTTATTTTTATACAGTTTTATTGTATACAAGATTGACTTTATTTAATAATATTTTTATGGTTTATTTAACAGCATTTTTTTAAAGTATAAAATTGTTTTAAAACTTAAAAATAAATAACGAATAAAAGAAAAAAATAAAGAAATAAAATTACAAATAAAAAAGCATAACGTCCCATCAGTAAAATTAAAAAAAAAATTTGCTTGTTTATTAGATTGTTTGTCTCTAGGTTGCTCAGGAGAAGATTGCTAAAAACCGTACTACAGACAAACTTGGTCCCGGCCCATCACCATTCGCCGCGCGCCGGTCAGAGACAGAAGTCTTCTCTGCCAGGCGGCGTAGCTTCTTTACCGGAGAGCCGGAAAAAACAGATAAGGCGGAGGACAGGAGCCCAGAGGAGGCGGAAGGAGACGGAGTAGTCCGCCGGGGCGGAGGAAAGGGATTAGGCGGAGATATATTGAAGGAGATGAAGGTTAGACAGGAGCTGAAGAGAGCCAGTATTATTCCTAAATCTGAGTCGTCAGTAGATAAATCTGAAGGAAAGGAAGAAGAGAAACCCTTCGGAAATATTCATCTCAGGTAAATTCTTTTCTTTTCTTTAAAGAACAATTTTTATAAATCTTATGTTCACTAACTTTCACAAATGGAGTCATCGTAATTTAATTTAATAATTTAATTTAGCTGTAAATAATTATTATATATAATTATTGTTTTCCTTGATTTTCTTTTAAAAAATGTTGATATTTCTACTTTTTCGAAAAGCATGTTAATACTTCTATAAATAACCACATTGTGTCAAGACAAGTGCACACATATTCTATAGCATTATCTACAACACTTCTATTTTGGCACGACGTGTTATAAAGCTAAGAAATAAAATCTTCAAAGAATCGAAGATAATTTAAACCCCAAAACTTGACAAAACTGCGAACCAAAATAATAGTGTTGTTTTGAATCTGCTTGTTTCACTCATTGCTTTTCCATTTAACAAGACAAACTAAAAAACTTCAATATTTTTTAAAGAATTGTTATAGTTGTAGATGATTTCTTACTTCTCATAATTTTTCGAACTATTGTTATGAAAAGTAAAAAACCTTCATTAGATCATTTTTTCGTCTCTTTTTGTTCCGTCCTAACTAACATTAAAACTAACCTTGTTGCTTTATCTCTTTAGAAACACGGGGTTATCGACCAGTATCTCTAATCCATCCAACCAGTCCCAACCTAGTCCAGATTTACAGAAAAACTTCGTCGACGAACCCAAAACTTCGGAAACCGAGACGATCAAGCATTCGTCCTCGTCAATTATCGGACTTCGAGCCGCAGCATTCGAGGCTGGGAAAAGTAAAAGCGAAGATACTGATGAACTCAATAAACCCCGACCTCCGCCTAAACCTCGGCCTTGGAGTATTGTCGGTGTCGATCGAAAATCCGGCGAATATACTCAACTTGAATCCTCCGCCATGGCGGAAGGTTCGATTTCCGCGGAGAAGGAGGAGAACACCTCCGGTCCCGGAGCTATTAGTAGTGTTCGGGACAGAATTGCTAGTCTAAACAAACCCGACAGTCCTGGTTCAGCTAGCTCCGTAGCTCCAACCAATATTAGAGACAGGATCGCAAACATGAACAAGAACTCTGAACTAGAGGTGAACAAGAGGAAAGGGAACTCTCTACCCCGGAGTACGGAACCTGTATCCAAGTCCCCTGGAACCAGACCGAAGAATAGTCCTAATAACAGGAAGAAGGATTCAACCTCCGATGATCCTCGAATACTCAAACTAGACGATGATTTTATGTACGATGACACCGTGAATGTTTGAATTTTTGAGTCTCTACTAATTCCGAACTTCCTTCAGCGTTGAGTCCTAAACCTATGTGAAACTATGTATACCTATGGAAAATTTCAGATCAGTGAACGGCAGCAATCTTTAGTCTTGATCATCACGAATTATGAAAGTACCAGGAGTAGATAAGGGGGGGGGGGGTAACACGATTAAGATCATTTTAGAGGCGTGCCAAAGCAAAGAAATACCAAGAAACTGCCATTTTGTCACAAATAATGAAAGTGATGAAGTTTAATTTTAGTTCTTCGCATGACAAAAAATATCGTCCCGAAGTGAATGAAAACTACTTTTTCGAATTGGAACACTTCATTCCTTATCTTAACTTTCATTCCATTGGCTGCGGCAGCTTTATTAATTGCATATTTTTCAGAGTTTTACTTTTTTGCTTTTACATTAAGCTTTTAATCCTAAAAGCATAATTTAAAGTAACCCTCTTTGCAAAGATGAAAATGGCCAATTTGCAACTTTACCCTTGAAACCTTAATCTGATCTGGTATCGTCGTTTTCCTGACATGTATTCCGATTATGCAAGAAATGCAAGAAAGTCAAGAAAGTCACTTTTACGGAAAACCCGCAAATAAAAATTAACGGTTTGAAGAAACAAAAACATGGTGACCTAATTCATACTTAATCAGACAAAGCTTTTAAGGGTACCGTTGTAAATCGAGCTTTGCCATCTTTGCTTGGAGGGTACGCTTACAGTCCCTTTAACTTCTAATCATTTTAACATTAAAAAAAATGGTTTGGTTGCTTAATGCATATTTTCTATAACACTGAAATAGGGCATTTAAAATTAAGTTTCTGTTAAATCTAGTTTTTTATTCAATGTCTGTGTTATCCCTTTAAACACTATACAGTACTAGTTATGAAACATGAGACCTTCGAACTTATTGATCAGCTTTATTATACTTATCCAAATTAGTTTAACCCAATTTTGTATTGAGTGTTATGTTATTTTATTGTACACGAGTCTGTTATGTAAAACTAACATTATAAAACTCTTGTCCTTTAGCTTTATTTTGAATTGTGAAGAATTCTCTAGAAGTGAATCAGTATTTAATCCTTACTATTTTCAGACCTGTTTCTGGCTCCAGTATCAACATTTATTTATAATTTAAGAGTTTTATGTATCTTACAATTTTCCCGCTTTTTGATGCAATTTTTCTCTGGATATGTACTGTACGGATTAAAGTACACGACACTTACTTTGTCGGAATGGGTTTAACCTTTTTTAAACGGCCTAATCATTTCAGTACGGTACATATGGGGTTGAGGCATTCTGTTTTATTTAACCTTAAATTCCATGGTTAACATAAATCGTGGAACTGAAAAGGTTGTAAAAAGTTTGTTCTACCCAAATGTAACAATAAAATTTAACCAACTAGTGTTGAAACTGATTGTGAAATTGAATGTGCACCCCCTGAAAAAAAATTGTGAAAACTGACATAAATCGTCAAACCCTTATATGTTCTGATTGGCTGCAGTGTGTCTCTGGATAACTACTACTCGCTTTATACACTAGTTTTAGTCATGTTTATCTGGGACACCCTGTAGTTCTTAAATAACTATTTTTCTACTCGCCTGTATACTCTGCTGTTACGAGGTATTATTTAATTATGCATTTATATATTAATCATTATATTGTTCAATGCTGCAAATATAAACCTTGATCTTCCTAATTCTATTTCTTTTATTTTACTACATTTTTATTAAGTTTCGCGCCTATTTGTCATTTCAGCTTTTAAATATTGCTTTTCAGGTCGCCATTTTTTCCTAGTGCATCGTTAAACTAAAAACATCGCGGATTTTTTTGTCATTATTGGAAGAATATCAAAATTAGTTTCAAAAACTTTTTTTTCAAAATTTTTCATATAAGTTTGAGCGAGTTAACATTCACGATAAACTTACCAATGACGTTTTTTCAAAATGAAAAAAAAACAGACTATAGAAGATTTAAGGACCAAACCAACTTCGTAGACTTGGGATATTTCTAGCAATCTGTTGCATCAAATAATCTAAGTTTGTAATATCGCAGGATTACACAATCAGGTTGCAAAGAGAAAGTGATTAAAATTCGAGTTTGGGGCAAAGACTCGGTTCCTTTACGTCAAGTTTTGTGTGCAAGTCGATCCAACGTTGTTACCGAAAGCCAACCAAATGGATGAAACTTCCAAGGCATTGCAAACAAACATATTCTCAATAATCCGTGTACTTGAAAGATAGACAAGTGGCCAATTTCTTATTCATTTAACCATAGGTACAACTATAGGTTGTATCTATCTATCTACACTGCTCTGGTAAAGCGTAACCATAGTGTGACTATGTTTCTACCTATGGTAGAGCGTCTAAGAAATTGGCCAAAGAACTAAGAATAGAGTTTGGAACTGAAGAATGAAGGCATTCATTAGCGCGATACACTAGAATATATTATGACGAAAACGTAAAACTAAATACGTCTTCATAATAGGAAAAAAAGTTGGTGCTCTGTAGTACAGCATAAAAATTAAGATCTGCTATTTAAGTGACCTAATTAGTTTCACGCAAACAATCCCTTTAATGTGCCCCCCCCCCTTCCCTCCATTTAACCTTATTAATTCACTAAACTACGCAACTATGTGAATTGTTTTATTCCTGTATTGCCTGACCTAAAACTAATGATAAACATCTACTCTACTGTATTAATTAAATGAATATATTAGTTAGATATGAGAAGTCAGTCCTGGGAATTTATTACTAAAACTATTAAGATAAAATCTAGTTGAGAATCATTTAGATTCATTATCGGATGTTTATATTATTCTATATATAATTTAATGTACTTCGACTTCGTCGCAAAGTCCATCAGAAAACTAAAAAACTTTTTAAGATAAAAACTTTTGCTAGTTGCACTACTCATTATAAATAACAATCTCAAAAAGGTAAAATTTAATCGAAATTACTGGTACAACGTTGGAACCTCGTAGCTCTTTAAGATTTGATTTTCAGGCGCAAATATGATATCTATATTCTCAACTTTATTGTTTTTCTCAATGATTTTTTTACAATAATTAATGATTGAAACATGTATGTTTTTATTTTAACGTGAAATTTACTCCAGTTTGACGTGCTTACTGCTCATTAATAAATAGGATCACGTGTTATTGTACATTGTAAATACATCATCTAATGTCAATACATGGCTTTTAAGAGGCTCTTTGATGAAATCATGCGAATTGTGTACTAAAAGTTTGCTGAATTAATACACACACAAACTGTTAAATTTGATAAAAGATGTAAGTCTCTGTAAATTGTCCAAACTGGCAAAAAAAGGTTTTACTCTCAAAGGTAGAAAAACTCGGGTTTGGAAATTAATTTCGATATATTTTATATCCTCTTCAGTCCTACAGAAAATGACCAAAATTATTACAAATTATAAATAAAGATAATGTAACAAATAACTTTCTAGAAATTTATAAATAAGCAAGCAAATTAGGGGAGGTTTTTTTTGAAGTCGAATAAAAAATTAAAAGCGTAAGAATGATTGTCACCCTTAAAGAATGGTGGTATTGTCAAAACTGTAAGAAATGTTCATTGAATTAAGGGTTGGGGGGTGGGTGTTGGTGGGTGAAGGGGTTAGGAGAATAGGTTGACCGACACAGATACGATGTAAGTGTAATACAGCCACAGGTTACTTGTGAAGGATAAGACTTGAGAGATGACTTCATAGATTCCTGTAATATATTTTTACCTCATTTTATCATTAAATGTGTGGCCTTCTTCATTCATAAAAATATAATTTTAGGAAAGAATTTGGCCTTCATGACGTCATTATAAAGTCTCATACCATTACAAGTAACCCTGTAACATTGTATGATAGGTTGTATTGTTGAAATTAATGTAATGAATAATTTATTTAATCTTCCTAAAGAGATAGTTTGCAAATATTATCTTGATTCCACTTTAGTTAAATTCCCGTTAAGCTGATAGAACCACTCGATATGGTTTATACTCCGGCTACGGGAACGTTTTAGGTTTAAAGTTTCTCACGCGAGTATAGTATGCAAATTAGCTCCAGGGGGAAGTAGGGATCAGTTTATACTATTAAAACTACAGGGGATAAGTTTATTATTACAGGGGGAGAACTAAACATTTAAAGATTCTTCCTGCTCTACACTAGGACCTTGGCACTAGAATATCCATAGAAGGAGCGGATCCATTTGGCGTACCGTCCCATTTTGCCCAATATAGTCTCTGTCAAGGTACTAATGCTAGGGAAGTTAATTGCGGTCGGGCATACTCTGCGTACATATTGAAACCAGTTCTCTTTAGGCGGAATTTGTAAACAAGAATAGATGCATCAGTGTTCGTTTAATTTTGAACATTCATATAATAGTTTCCTATAACCAGGATATTTCATAGATTATTTTTGTGAAAATGGATTCCATGTCAGGCTGTGACTTCCGTCTTGTGTTTAATGTTCCGCCCAAAGACAGTACACTGCAGTACAAAAAATGCGCACAACTCTGAAATAACTTTCCTTGCATTAATACCTTGGTCTCTGTCTGAGTAGTTTAAAAGTCGACACGAAACTTAAGTGTTTGAATTGTATACATCTATTACTGTACAAACTTCAGGGATTAATATTTTTTCAAATACACATTAGGAATCTGTGCGCCTTTTTAACCCTAATTTGTAAACATATTACTAGACATTACCTTAATTCTCTTTTTGATTGAATAATAAATTATTGATTAGAAATTAACTCGTGGATTTCCAAAACAAAAAGGAGCAAGAAAATGGCCAGCATTTATTGATTTTCAGGAAGAGAGATATTTCAACCCGTTGGATTCTTTAATTCTCCCAAATGTTTTGTGACATTTTTAACATTTTAACATTTAAACCTCCTTTCAATATAATTTTAGACTGAGAAGTACATCAAACTGTGTTAGACAATGTATTTGACGTTATAAAGCAAAAAGTTGAACCACATTCTAAATTAAAAATCATAATTAAGCGATAAAAAGTCGCCTAATCGGATAAAGTTGGATAGCAACCGATTGGCGACAAAAAAACGCTTAACATAAATCGCTTATTTTAAACAAAAAATCGCTTTTTTATAACAAAAAATCACTTATCACTTGAAACCCGAGGATACTTAAATTTCACTCGAGTTGAAAGTAAAATTGTGTTTTGTTAATGATATTTTTTAAATGAACTTTTTTATACCCCTCCCCCCCCCCACATAATAGGGTTGAAAGGATTTTGCTACACTTTTCTTTTTCTATGCAATTTCAAATATATTACAATTTATCAGTTTAAACTGTATTTTCAGGGACTATTACTAGATGAACGTATCTATATCTAAAAACTTTGTCTTATCATGTTTTTTTAGTGTGTTTATTGATTAGTTATTAAACAGGGTGTCCCACGTAAAATGACAGTAGCAAGACGGGTTGAAAGTTGGTTTGTATTGATCTCATATCGATAGGCTCTACCAAATCTACTATAACTTTAGTATCATGATTTGGGGGCACAGGTCCGGGTCCAAATTGATCAGAGTCCAAATCTTTATATCAAGTGGGAAAACCTATCCAGAAGAAAGAATTTAATAGTAACTGAGAAATAAAATTGAGATTCCAATATAACATGTATGTGGAGAAAACTATGATTCCAATATAACATGTATGTGGAGAAAACTATGATTCCAATATAACATGTATGTGGAGAAAACTATGATTCCAATATAACATGTATGTGGAGAAAACTATGATTCCAAATAAAAGATTTAGGATAAGTTTGTTGAAAATGGTGAAATTATATTTTATTAAAATTTAAAGTTTATATTGTTTGGAAAATTTTTGTATTCCAAAGCTAAGACGCTAAAACCATCCCTTAAAGTTAATTTAAGACTGATTATAACGAGATGATTTCTTATTCTCCCAACAATTGAATGGGTTCTGACCTTAGGGAACCAAGCTGGGTAATTACTTCCCTTCAGGAGGGGTAGAAACCAGCTACCATATTAACAATTCAATACTTAATATGAATTTTATAACGTGTGAAATTCCATAAAATTTTCCTATCGTGACGAAATACCTAATATTTTTATACGTGGTGAAATTCCTAATATTTTCCTAAAGTGACAAAATTCCTAATATTTTCCTAGCGTGGTGAAATTCCTAATATTTTCCTAACGTGGCGAAATAACCTGGGGTATATAAGGAGACCAAATCTTGGTTTCTTCAGTCCAGTGATCTCAATTGTAGCATTAACATCACCTCCAGTCTTCACATCAAAGGTAAGCTCTTCATTAAATAAGGTACTATTCAGGGTTGCCAAGTGGTTCTGTACGGAACCAAATAACTCAAAAGTGGTTCTCTAGAAAAGTTGTGGTTCTGGTGGTTCCCATCTGGTTCCAAAATTTTTTTTGTATATATTGAGGAAAACGTTAAAATGGTTAGATTTAGCAAATCATTTTTAGATAATTCTTGAATAAAATATTCTGATTAATGAAAATGAAGGGATATTTTTATAAACTAATACTGAAATACCATATTACCAAACTACCATATAACCCAGCCTAAAATCTGAACTGTTTATTTTTGGAATTAAAGAACTCTTATTAGAAGAACAGGTTATAAAGTTAATGGATTCTTATTTCTAGTTTTGATAATATAGCTATAACCGATTTTTTTACTAGAACACGTAAAACGGCCGTCTTACAGTTCTAAAGTCATCACATTCTCCATGAATTTCAAAAAATGGCTTTCAATGGGCAAGTTTTTACCCTCTATAATAATTTTTACTTTAAAATGCCATGTATTTACCAAAAAATAGTCATGTTTTTCCCCATTTCAGTGACTTTTTAAAAAATCATGTAAACAATCGTTTTCAAGAAGGGGTCGCATTTATTTTAATATCTAATACTGACTGAAATACCCGGAGAAGGGAGAAGTTCAGAGTAGTTATACAGCCTTCAAGCAAAAAGTGTTGAATAAAAAGTATTTTTTCTTGTCAAAATGCTCTTTTTTCATTGGTTCTGAAGTGGTTTTGCATGTTCGATTTTGGTTCCCAACTGGTTCCCTGCAGTGAAATATGTGGTTCTGAGCAAAATTTTGGAGTTGGCAACCCTGGTACTATTTAACTGTGTTTATTATTTTGTTCTGATGTAATCTTAATTTTCATAAGTACTATATTTTGAACCACATTGTGATTTTGGACTTGTAAAAATAAAATATTTTTAACCAACATTTTAACTTAGAAATTAAATCCACATTTATAATTATCTCTTTTCCTTCCTTTTAAGATTTAGAAAATAAAAAAACTCAAGCTAGATTTTCCCAAGTGGCTGGGACTTATAAAATAAAAAAAAAATAAACTCAACTAGATCTTTCCAAGAGCCTGGGACTTAAAAAATTTGTGAAAATTAATTTTCAAATTGGAATTTACTAAGAGTCTGGAACTTAAAAATTTATTAACGGTCCCAACCTTATTTAACCACAAGTCCTTTCTTTTATGTAAGGCCCGTAATACAAGAAATCTATTCCTAGTGAAGATTATTTAAGTTTCATAACATTTTATTCAAGTCACTAATTATTGAATTAAATAAGGCCTAATTTTATATCTTAAGTTAAATCATAAATCCAATTGTCTAAATGTTATTAACTGAACCAAAATCTTCAATTTTATATCATTATCCAAGATTTAAGGAACAAGTCCTGCGTGGCAACTTCCATCTTAAAGGCGAAGTTGCATAATATCATTACAGAACTTAAAGGACAAATAATTTGGTAATTCTCTTTATTTAAAGTTTATCTATAAATCTAAGATTCCAATATTCGGTTCCATCCATTCTCAGAGGTTTAGTCTAAATAGAGATTAATTAACGTAGTTGAGAAATAACAGTCTTCAAACTTTTAATTTATTTCTGACATTCAATCGTCAACCTACTTTCACATTCATGATTCTTGAAACAATAACATCAAAATCAAATATAAATAGAGTGGAATTTGCACAATCTCTTGGTATGAATTTTGTCAGTCTCATTCAGTCTAAAAGAGAGTTCAAATTTTACGCAGTACATCACACTAAAACAGTATGATCACCGGACATATCCATTCTAATTTCTTAGTTTTATAAAGTTGTTAAATAACTTTTATCGTGTGTATTGGCTATAGGTGAATTAAAATCATTATTTTATCAAACATTAAAATGTAAAAATTGTCGTTTGTAAAGTGAATACCTACAGAATTGTTAATCTTTTTTTGCTTCACACTCTTACGGTCTTCTGTGTATTGCAATCTTAATCAAATTAATTTTCCTATTTCAAATAGAGATGCTTTTAGGGTGCTTCGCGCCCATCTTCTATTTTAATTGTGAACATTTTCTCTTTGTATATCCTTGTAAAACAAAATCAAACATAAAGTAAGAAGGGTTTCAATTTTGACAATCTTTTATCAAAATTTGGATGATTTTCGTAAATCAATGCACAACACATCCTGGCTGTCCCAAAAAGCAAAACAATTAGAAGACGACTCTAGCAAGGAGATAAGGATTAAGTCAGGAGAGGCGGGGGGGGGGGGATAACATTTTTTTTCACTCCCCCCACCTCTATGTCAGGGATTTAGAAAATGATGATATTTCCCTCATCCAGTTAAGAAAAGAATTTCAGATTTGAAAATATCAAATATTTTTTTTTTCAAATCAAATCACACAGCAATAATAAATTAAAAACTTCCCTTCAAGATTTATGCAATATGGTTCCTTTGTCAAGGGTAATTTAGATAGATATTTTGTCTGCAGTTTTGCAATATATTTTCTTTTCCTTTGAGCTATTGAAATAGCCATAAATTATTCTTTCTTCAAGAAAAATGGGATCAAAAAGAAAAATGCCGTTTAAAGCTAAAAAAAGCCATTTCAGGCAGAGGCGCAACAAGGACTTTTGCTAGGGGGGCAATATATTATTTTGTAAGGGTCAGGGGGGGGAACTTGTGGGGGGGGGGTTCCCCCCCTTTTCGAAAATTTTTTAAAAACAAAAGTGCTTTTTTAAGGGTTTGGAGTCGATTCAGAATGTTCTCTAAATTTGGAAATGAGTTTTTGCCACAAACTCAAATATTCTAAATTAGAATATTTAGGGATTTTCGCCATTCTTTCTTTCTTTTCATTCTGCAGGGGGGGGGGCGCCCCCCCTCTCAGGTGCTAGCGGAGGGCGCGCGCCCGGCCGCCCCCCCCTAGTTGTGCCTCTGAATTTTCAGGCTTGGTCATTGTGAGTCATTAATTTCGATCCTTTCTAAGGTTTCAAAAAAATGCCCCCCCCACTAGCAAATTCCATGCTACCTGCGTGCCTAAACAAAAGAGCTATCCTAAATTAATTAAACAATTCCATGCTACCTGCGTGCCTAAACAAAAGAACTATCCTAAATTAACTAAACAATTCCATGCTACCTGCGTGCCTAAACAAAAGAACTATCCTAAATTAACTAAACAATTCCATGCTACCTGCGTGCCTAAACAAAAGAACTATCCTAAATTAACTAAACAATTTTTTATTAATTAAGTGTTCCTCAGGGAAAATGTTTTTAATCCAATCTTAAAATAGAATTTAAGTATGTATACATTCTACAATCTACATATAGAAACTTCCCGCAATTTTCTAGGGTTGTTTTCCGCCTGCCCCTTAGCTGTCTCAGATCTGTTTCACTTTCTAACAAGACTTAAAACTTAGCAAACATAAATTAGATTGGTTAAATGTTTTCCTTTCATTTCACAGTTTTTTTATACAGTCCCACTGTATAAAAGTTATGAAATTGAAATTAAAGAGTTAATAACCATTTGCATCCTCATCCTCAATTTTAGTATTTTGGTTTCTTGAGTATTTCAATATTGGTTTTTACTGTTTAATTACCTCAAATTAAAAAATATGTTTTTTTACTAAATAAAAACATTAAATTGATTGTTAGCGAAGCTTATGCTGAAATGAACTCGGGAATGCATGGCAGGCTAATGGAGAATTGATTTAGAGAAAATCAAATAATTTTCAAGAAAACTTTTCTATTAAATGATGTTCCAGGGCCCAAAAAGGTTTTATAGCACAAATGTGTGAAGTACACCTGAAGTATGGAAACAGTACTACAAAATGGCCGTTTTACACTTTTTTCGAGTAAATTCCACTCTGTTTATAATCTATTTTCTTTGATAAAACTTCTCCTAGTCCTGGCATTTTCAAAATTTTGTGATTAATAACTTTAGAATTTTACTTCTAAAATTAGGTTTACGAATAAATTCCGCGAATTATTTCAAAGATCAAAAACGACCTTCAATTCGTCTTGCTACTGTCATGTTTCGTGGGACACCCTGTATCAGAATACAATCTAGAACTAATGGGAAAAAAGCAATGTAGTTGACGAAAGCTTATCTGTATAATTGCTTATTTTAAACACACTGTGTTGTACCTCTCCTGTCATTTATATCTAATATCTACAGAGAAGTCCTAAAATACACCTTAAATTTGGACACCACGATTTGGGACATTTGTGATATTTACTAAAAATTCTTGATCGAATGCCTACTACAGCCTTTAACCCTTTCTGTAATACATTTTATTAAATTTTTGAAATCCTCTGATACAAAATCATTTCTTTAAAAGAAATAATAATCATTTCATCTTTGACACATTAATACAAATATTTATTCTGATATTAGACTAATGATGAATTTAAACAAATAAAAACCTCGAAACCTCGATGATCTAAAACTATTCGGAAAAACTCACGAAACCTCTTCCTTTGTCCAATACAGATTCTGTTTTGGGTGAGGATTTGTTTACATTACAATTACAACAATCAAATATCATATTCCCAGTTTGCCCAGGCTCAAGCTAATCCAAAGCTTCTAGACTTTTCAAACATTGTATTTTTACTCCTCAAAAGTAGTTAAATGTAATAAAATATTAGGCAAGGTGTTAGAAACTTTTAGATAGACGGGATATATTTTAATCCATTTAAATTCTCTTTTAACTCATTGATCAAAACTTTGATCAGATTAATCCAGTCACTGTGACCTAGACAGAAGGAGAAGGTTTAATACGACATTACTGCTTTGACTTTGTGACCTCGTAGCTCCCCTTGTTATGACACCGCAATTGTGCAGTGGAAACAGACCCATTTCACTTAATAAGTGATGTAACAATTCACTAGTAAAGCTGTTTGCATCCTATTCTATAGTTTTCTCGTTATCATGGAGCGAGATTGAATTCAATGAAAACTCCAGAATCTCATACATTTGATGAAATCTTTACCAACTTACTAGAATCTCATACATTTGATGAAATCTTTACCAAATTACTAGAATCTCATACATTTGATGGAATCTTTACCAAATTACTAGAATCTCATACATTTGATGGAATCTTTACCAAATTACTAGAATCTCATACATTTGATGGAATCTTTACCAAATTACTAGAATCGAAAATAGAATGATACTGAAAACAAATATACATTTCAAAATTACAAACCGATTATTTCTAGTTAAAACGGAGTAGTTTGAAAAATCCTATTCAATCTTTTAGATTTTGAAAATGAGTTCTTCAGGATAAAATGGCTAAAGTTTGAAATATAAAAGGTTTACACCATCTGGATTCAAAGATATAGTAAATAAGGAATTAGAGTTTGAGGCAAGTATTTAGCTTCTTTGTATATTTTGCTCTGAACTAAATCTATTGTATTATTATCCTACTATACTAGACCCTTACTCGTGAAGGATATCCTGCACTTGTTCCGTAGTAAGTTTACGCAACCAAGGGGGATTCCCCGGCACTCTACGCAGCACCGGGGAACTGACGCTAGATTCTCCAGTAGTTATATAGAGTAGAGAGCAGTAGGACGCATAGATATTAGTTTATCCTAGATTAGAGATGGTGGTTCCGTGGTTCGGAGTTCGGAGAAGGGATGGTTCGGATCCTCTAAGCAGGACTCATCCTTCCAACCTCAAGGTAACCTGATCCTCAATATCAGATTTTATCTTCAAAATAATTTTTTATCACTCTCGAATTTGATCTTGAAATATTTTACTTCTCAATGTTCTTTCATAGAACATATTTGGTTTGAAAATGAGCTGAAACGAGATTACATAAATATATTTGAAATTTAGAATATCATCTCAATTCTTAAATTTATCTAGATAAACACACAGCTAATGTGATTGTGCACCAACTTTAAATTGTTGCTATGCATACTTTTACTTTATGAAGCCCTGGACATAGATATTTTAAAGTTAAAAAGCGCTTGTTTTTAGCTTTTGTTTTGAAGGAGTAATAAGAAAACCCCTAAACCATTTTCACGCTAGAACATACATTCTCTAGTCCACAGTGGGCATTGAAATCAAATGAAATTTCAGGAATAAAACTTTTTTCTAGTTTTAAAATCGCAAATTTTTCAGGAGTCAGAAAAGAGGATGAAGATGGCAGAGATTCCGAGTAACAAGGATCCCGTATTCTTCCCTCAAACAGGTTCTAGACCCAGGGTAGTCCGCGGACCAGTGCAAAAACCGAAACCTGGAGCAAGGTTAAGATCTCGTCCAGTTCCTGTGGTTCCTGTAGAACCTGGAGCCAGGGAACCTGAACCCTGCTCCGTGTATCCGGAGAAGTCCGTCTGTGATCTCTGTCAGCTTCCTCTCCTGCTCCCAGACCTAGTTCGGGACATTCCTGATCTCCAAGGACGGAGAGGACGAACACGTCCTGTCGAACCATCTTCTCTTCCAGATCCTAGAAACAGGGAGGAGCTACTATCGGAGAATCAGGAAACCGGACAAGTAGTCCGACTAGATCTCCGAGGTGTGGATCAGGGTTGGAACCCTCCAAAACCTGCTGAAGATTGTATCCTGGAGTTGGTTGCGGAGCTCATGAGAAATATCTCCGTCCCAGGAGGTTTCTCAACCCTGCTCCAGGCAGTTGCAATTATTGTTTGCATTTCACAGTTCAAAAAATATTTTAAATAAATTAAAGAAAATTTATTTTTTCGTTATTTAGGAGATCTTTCAAGAGATAAGGAAAAAAATATTCTGTCACATGAGGAAAACATTTTAATATTCTCCATTTCCAAATGTACAATCTACAACTCTAAGTACAGGGTGTTACACACAATAAATCCAGGATTAGGATATGTTAGACCTTTAAATCATTTGAAAAAATTTTAAAAAGTGTTAGTATGTATAGTTTTTTAATTTTAGAAGCGATATTTTAAGTTTTTTTTGGAAGTTCGATGCTTTCATTTAAGGCTTAAAACTATGTCGAATATTGAAAAACTGTTCTGTCCATTTTGAGCAGTACATTTGTTGAACAAAATTCAACACCATTAAAACTTGTTATGTACTGCAGGGTCGGTTTAGTTTGCACAGTCTTTTTTTTCTGGAATCAAGTTTATGCTAAATGAAATGATAGGAACTGGCAAATATTTCCCACAACTTAGTTTGCAAGCAGTATTTTCAAAAGACAATTCTTCAATCTCAAAAATATTAATATAAATAATTTTTCGTATTTCCTTTTTACTTTTTTTTCACGTACAGAAGAAGTCTTTGCGATTGTTAAACTTTTAATCTGATTCTGGATATCATTAATCTTGAACGTATGATATCGATATTCATGATGTGGGCACTTTAAAATGTAAGGATTATTGTTTGATCCCTTAGTTAAACTTATACCTGCAGGGTATGACCACCAAAGAGGATTAAACCCTAGGTCTGCATAAAATGACATTGCTTGATCCCAAGATTAACAACACAAAAGTTTCGACTTCAGTTGCCGAATTTAAAGAATTTGAGCGGCGGTTTAAATATGGTTGGTTCTACTTAAAATTGTATCAAAGTTTGAAGATTTAAGCCGGCGCTTAATTTAAACCGGGTTTTGGCGGATTTAAACCGCGGCTCAAATTCTTTAAATTCCATCTCAGGCCTAATTTTATGTTCCTTAAGTCTATATATATATTATGCTTTCATTATGGATTTATTTGATACTTCCATGTGAGAATAATGCTGATCTTAAACGAAAGTTATTTCCGGTTTCCTGAAGACGTCTCCTTGTCGGCATCAGAGATATTGCTTGTGAAGAATCATCAAGACAACAGCAATAATAAGAATCTTCATTACGATTTTTTGCAATGTGTAAAAAAATTCACCTAATTTAAGAATTTTTTCATGCTTTTTAAAGGAACTGACCCTCCATTTAAAAATTGATGTGGAAGACATGCCTCCCATTCAATGGGAGGTCAAATAAAACTTCGTTTACTGTTCCTGTAATGATTTAGAGGTCGGAAATAATGAACCGAGAGAAGCAGTTGAATTAGGTTTACCAGTTCAACTACTTCTCTGTAAGTTCCGGTCTCACTCTCTAATCTCTGGTTCCGGTCATTGATGAAATTTATCTTAATGAACCATCGGAGATTTTGAACACTTTCACTAGAAACCTGACGTGGTCACCAAAATCAACTTGAACCAACTATTTCATTCTCGTTTAAAAATTCCTGTTCACGGAGATTTCTAAGTTCTTGAGACTCTTCAGAATTTAAATTAACATTTAAATATTACAAGAGGTTTTCAAAACATTTTAAGATCGGAACTTGTGTGTGGATATTGTTAATCTTAAACGCGTTTAAACCTGAGGATCTATGCTTAATCTCTCAATTACAGGGTATGACCATCACAGCATTTACAGGATATTGAAGAGGAATTGAATCAATCAGTAGGTCTGATTAAAGATGTAAATTAATGGGGATCCTGAGATCCGCAACACAAAACTTCTCCAGAAAAATAACAATTGTGTCGTGAGAATCACGAACAGTGTACAAAGCTTAGTTTTGCCCTCTACTCAATTCTAATTTTTTTGAAGTCACGTGAAGTTAAATATGATAGCTAAATACAATTAACTAACCTTTTTTGTCCCATCTCACTAGAACAAAAGTGTGTAATTCTGATAATTCTTGCATCGTTTTTTTTTGCAGCAGAAATGGGCTAGTCAGTTCAGAAGTGAAACCACAATTGAAAATCATCAGGTTTCCAAATTTCACTCATGAATATCTAATTCCTACTTGATCATTTGCTTTTAAGAGCATAGGACATGCCACTTCATAAATTAAGGGTAACCCTTTAAAGGGACTGACCGACAATGTATTGTGGTTGAACTGCAAATATGTAGTATTGTGGACAAATTTTTTAGGATTCATTTGGGACAAATAAAACGTTTCTACGACGTATATTTACTGAGTTTGAGCGTAAAGTCGACTTTCAAAATCATGAATTTGGGTAGGTACGTTCTCAGAATCTTTTTTTAAATTATTAACTAACGACGACAAAAATGTAAACAAAGTTCTTCAGTAAACTAATTAGTTGTTTAGGAACAGGTTGAGAAAATATCATGGAAAATAAGTAATCTTATTCAATTATTAGCTTCTCTAATCTCTCATTATTCACAAAGATTTTCGGCAGATTTTCTGGAATTTTTGTTGAAAAGACGACATTTGAAGAATTTGTAGAAATCTGAAAACAAATTCATAGAAAATAAGAAATTCAATTTAATGATGAAAAAGAAATAATTGATTTTAACATTGATTTATTTCTTTTGGGAAATATGTTCCTAAACGTGTAATTAGTTTACTATGAAATTTTTACTTTATTTTTCGTCGTTCTTATTCACCAATTTAAAAAAAACAGATTCTGAAAACGTACCCACCCAAATTCATGATTTTGAACGTCGACTTTGCGCTCAAACTATGCGGTAATTATACATCGGGGAAAAGTTTTACATTTCTGAAATGAATCCTAAAAAAAGTGTCCACAATCCTTCATAGTCAGTTCAACCACCCTACCATACATTGCCGGCCAGTCCCTACCATACATTGCCGGCCAGTCCCTCTAAACAATTTAATGTTGGACTGTTTCTTCATAATCTAATTAAATATTTTTGTCTTTCTGGGAACTTTTCCTTTTCTTAAATCATTTACAATTCAAAAGTCAACCATCATTGTAATTTTTAGCTCTATTCATGGACTAAATGTTATTAATTTGAATCACGTCGCTTAATTAACTGTCTACTGCATGCCAGTTTAAATTTGAGGTTGAATTGTAATTAAATATTTTAAGCTTTCTGGAACTTTTTAAAAATAATTTAATTCAAAATTCAACCATCAGTGTAATTTGTATACCTATTTATAGTTCCAGAAAACAAATTTTAATTCATTTGAGCTTCGTCGCTGAACCGCCTACTGCCGCGGAGCAAATTTAAACCAATGATTCAAAGTTTAAGATTAAGAGAGGATTTGAATCGGTGGTTTAACTACGTCTGTGAGGTTCAGCTACTCCTCGATATTCATTAAATTTGGTCCCATGAACAGATTTATTGATTATTGTTGAACCATTTCGATGTAGTTCGCCACTTTTCTTGTGCGCCAGTTCAAACTGAAGGTCTGCAAGGTTAAGCTACTCCTCGATATTCATTAAATCTGGTTCCAAGAACTTTTTTTCTCAAGGAACACTCCCTTTTACTAATATGAAGATTATGTAAACAAAAAACAATATTCTAAGTTGAATGTTGAATATATGGGTGTAGGTAGAGCATGGAATAATGTGCTATTATGTAGATATATTGCTTATATACAACCAGGATAGATTATATAAAGATCTCCAGGGTATGCTACCAGAGACTAAATAGACCAATTCAAACCAAACCTTCAACAATAGAACTAGGTCAATACAAATTAAGTAAAAGCTTTAAAACCTTTTATGAAAATGGAGTTCCCTTTTTTCTTTTGTTAAATAAATATATGAAGTTCACCAGACATAAATTTATTTGTGGATATTGTCAATCTTGAACACTTTATCTCGATATCCAATGTTTACACTTTTTAAATTTGTGGTTCACTGCTTGATCCTTCAACTAAAGTTTTCTCTGCAGGGTATGGCAATCAAAGAGGAATTAAATAAATCCGTAGATCTACATAAGATAGAGATCATGATGCTTGATGCAGATCTGCATAAGAGAGAGATCATGATGCTTGATGCAGATCTGCATAAGANCAAGATTTACAACACAACAGTTCTGAAGCAGCATAGTTTTCAACATTTCAGATTTTGTTTCCTTTTAAGGTGACCCTGTAAGGTGACCCTGTAAGAACCTGATTTTATTACAGTTTGCAATATATTTACTCGCACTCACAATCTAATAAAAGCAAAATTATTGATTTTTGGAAAATTGAAAATATCTCAGATTCTTGTGGATCCTCTTAAAGATAAAAACCTACAATGGAACCTATAAGATAAAGACGACATTTAAGAAATCTTCTTCTACTTATTTGATGTTGTTTTAAAGCAAATAAATTTACCAGTAGTTTGAGAATCAACTCAGTAAGTGAAATGGGTCTGTGTACACTGCACAATTGACGTGCTTCACATTCATTAGACTATCTAAAATCATATCATTCATTTTCCTATTTATCAGTTTTATGAGTCCCACTTTAAGGGACGGTAAGCATAATTTCAAGAAAACAGATGTATGATCAGCTAAAAAGAAGATAGAACAGCCAAAGAATAAATTCACTGCTCTTTTTTAAAAAAATTGCGTTAAAGTAAAAATTCAAAAATAAATGTTAAAAAACATTTTTGGCTAATTCATACTTGATCAGACAAAGCTTTTAAGGGTAAAGAACTTGAAAATACGCTCACAGTTCCTTTAAAGTAGCTTATCAATGAATTAAAAACACCCACCCCCCACCTCTATAACCCCCCCCCTTCCTCAGTACTAAACAAACAAATTAATATTCTCTATAAAGGTCACTAATCATTAGTTGACATTATCCATATGTTAGGATATTAATTATTTATAGTTAAAACTAGGAAAACTAGTAAAACAACAGACTTTTCTTTCATTAGGCGCCATATTGGAAAAAAAGTTAAGTATGAAAAAAAGTTTGTGTTTGTGTTGTATAATGATAAAACCAAGATGATGTCATCAATAAATCCTCAAA